CGGATCCTGCTCATCTTCGAACTCGACCGAGATATTGTTCAGACTGAACTATGTAGAAAATTTCATCGCCATCTGACTCCTCTTTCGAAAGTTATCGTGTATACGGACGGACGGACGGCCGGACACACAGACCGATTTTAGTAGTGTACTCACTTTTTGAGTACACAAAAAGAACATAATTTTATGATATGATACTTTGTTTAAATACAGATTAATGTACAGAAATGAAAAAAAAAAAAACATTACGACTTTATTATTTTATTATAAAAGTCCAAAAACTGATGGAACTTAGAAGAATTATTTCAGCCAGGATTATTGCTTCTAAGCTCCATCAATTACCGATGCTTTTCTGTCCAAACCGATCTGTGCGCTCTTACTTTTGATTTGACTGAAAACTTTAATCAATTCGGATGTAGCATCTATAAATGAGTTAGTAAAAAAATTGCTAAAAGATAGAATGTTTCAAACGAGATCATAAAATGTTTTTCAATTTCTTTTTAGTACATTTTATATTGCAAAACTTGCACTTTAACAAAGACGTCATCATTCTTATTGTTTGAATAAACAACACAATTTCATTCTACGCTTAAACCATGTAAGGACGATTATAATCTAACAGAGACAAGTTCTTACCTCGGGTCGATTTATATGTTTTTATTTTTACACTTTGAAATAATCTATTGATTTCATCGTAAGTAGATTCAATCTCTTGGTTTGGTTCTGATAAATATAATGTGTAGTTGAACGATGAAGGTAATTCATTATTTATAGATGGCACTTGTTGAATTTTAATTTCTACAGCAGATGATTTTTTTCGTAAATATTCAATTAGATACAGACCAAATTTTGGATTTTTGAAGAATTGAATATGAATATTATCATGAACTAAATATTTTGTTTTATCAATACTACTAGTAATATCAGTTATTTGATCTTGATCAAGAGGTACTAACGGCGACGGTATGTTCAATACCTGCTGTTTTGGTGAATTGATCTATAAAGATGTAAGTAAAAGAAAATAAAAATAACAGATTCTGAGGGATTACAAAAAGCCGGAAGACTAGAATCTGGTCTTCATGTAATATGTCCACAAAGATTTTCGAGTTCTTTAGAATGTCATTATAATTTAGATCAAACTTATAATTAGTGATCAATGAGAGAACAGGATAATACGCAAAGAAAAATTGTAGGTAAACGAATATAAAAAAAGAAATCATATCGGATAATGTTCCATATATTGGTATGAAATAAGCCAAATTAATGCCAATTCAGATATTTTACTAAATATTCAACATTTTTCTATTTCTATAGATAAGCTTCTCAATATTTTCTCATTTTGGTATTCTTTCTTCAAGCTCTGATTAATGATATATGTTCAAGAGAAGACTTCAAGCTATGCTATCACTATTGTGATGTAATTCATCATAAATATTTAATACAACCAAAACAAAAGAATCAATAAAATTTAGAAAACCAAACCACCGACATAACTGCACGGTTTCTAGCAGCAATAGCACGATCGCCAACAGAAACCGACTCCCATCCACAAGTCATCGATAAATATATATATATATATGAGTCAAGAACACAGTCATTGTATCGTTAAAGAAAAAAAATTGATAAAAATAAATTTAATAATACGAAAAAACTAGGCGTCTTATTAGATAGAACTATGTCGAATATGTTTTAAAACAATATTCTCTCAACACTTCCTTGTGTCGACATGTGAACCGGCATACATATCGCTTATTTGCATTTCACTCAGACATAGTGTAGAATTATTTTTAAAAAATGTCGCTCCGCACTTTGTTAACAAAACGATATCATTTTTCGAACGGAGAAAGATTTTTGCTTGATTTTTTTGAAATCTTACTCTAGTGTATAAGTTGAAAAAAAGGGATAATTTTTTTGTGGCAAATCGTTCAGTTTTTATTGTGTTTTAGCAATAATTAAATTAAAAAAGTCGCTTGATGTTCAGCATGAATATCACTTTTCTTTAATGTTCTTTGATTGTGAATTAAACTTGTTTTAATGAGATTTCTTCTAAAGAAATGTCAATGATTTCAATATTGCTCTAGACAGAAATGAAAAGTGCCTGAACGCCTTTCATCAATAGCTTTTCGTTCATAAAACTTCTTCTAAAGCTAAAACTAAAGACATATTCTGAAAGCTCTTGAAATGTTCTACAACTCTAGTTGCAAAATTAGTTTTAAAAAAATCGTAATAAAATTTAAAAAAAAATCGTTTTCGTTCGGACCGTTGACGTTAAGAGCTAGATATTTGACATTGCTACAATGATTTTTGAGAAGACACAACAGATGGAATACTTTTTTTTCAAATGTGAATTACTATTATTAGACCATAAAATAAGAAAAATTTATCAAGACCAGTCAAGTAGAACTCGACTTATAGGTATTTTTCTTTTCAGAAGACAATGATACAATGGATGTGCTCTTAATTCATATATCTATATCAATGATGAGTCATAAAAAATCGAGAGAGATATGACAGTAATAGAGGCTGTTGAGTAACTCCTTTATTTTTGCCATTTTGCACAGAAAATCCTATGTTGTGAAAACAGTGGATTCTA